TATATATCTGTCTCTTTTTTTCTTTTTCTCCCTAACCATTTCTCTCTCCTTCGGCACTTTCTTCATCTATTCCTCATTCCCTCTCTTTACCTTTCTTTCTCTCTCTCTCTTTCTCTATCGCATTCATTCTGTCTCGTTCTCTCACCCATCTCTTTCACATTTTTCTTTCAACTGGAGTATGTGATGAAGCGGTTAGGCGGTTTGCTGTCGCACACAGAAGACCCTAATTCGATTCCCGAGTAAGGAGAAAGTTTTGCAGAGTTTCTGGGATATCTGAATATTCTTAGAAAGATAGAAGAATGACTGTCGAGGTTTCACAGTGAGTGGCGAAAATATTAATAACATCAGATATGCCGATGACACAGTTTTATAAGCAGATTCAGAAAAGGACCTTCAATCGCTTCTAGATACTGCTGTAACAGAAAGTGAACGTAAAGGATTATTGCTGAATGCAAAGAAAACAGAACGAATGGTAATATTTTTAAAAAAACAGCAAATCCTATTTGTAATCTCATTAGCAAATGTGAAAATACCAAACAAGTCCAACAGTTTAAATATCTAGGATACTTATTAATAACATCTGAAGCCAAATGTTCCTCAGAAAAAAAACGGAGAATGGCAACGGCTATTATAAGGCTGGTTTCAATAAAATAAGGCCAATCCTAAAAAAAAAAAAAAAAAAGCCCATCTCAAGGATTAGCAAAATGAAAGTTCAGAAATTCTATGTATGGTCATCCTTTCTATGTGGCTGTGAATGCTTGACTTTAATCACTAAAGATAGTGAAAATAAAATAGAAGCAACAGACATGTGGTTTGTTAAACGGGGTGCCCACTACGGATGGGATCGGCAGACCGGTCACCTCAAAAACAAACGCATTTGTTTTCAGTTTCAGGCTATCGAGTCGGGCGATCGGCCGGATCCAGCCGTAGTGGGCACCTCGTATCAGGTGACTGCTGAGAATATCGTAGAAGGAAAAGAAATCAAATGAGGTAGTGCTTGATGAAGCCCACGTGGGACGCTCACTGTTAAAAACAATAAAGAAACATCAAATACAGTTTTTGGGACACCCAAATAGGCATAAAGGTCTTGAACATCTAGCTCTCACTGGCAAAATTAAAGGCAAACGAGGCAGGAGTAGGCCCAGAGCTACCTACTTAGGAAACTTAAACAAATGAGTAACGCGGAAAATCAGGAAAACTTGGCTTTTTAAGAGCATCCCAGCACAGGAATGAATGGAGAACCATGATCGCGGTGTCTGATGATGATAACCTGAGATATTCTATCCTTCTCAACACGGTTTAGCGACAACAAATAGGGTTTGAAGCCCGCCTCCTCAATTATCTAAATCGTGTCAGTGGTAGTTTTAAAACACCTATATGAATATGTTCTGTCTCTCATCCACATTGATCCCCCCCCCTCTCTCTCTCTCTCTGTCTCTCTCTCTCTCTCTCTCTCTCTCTCTCTCTCTCTCTCTCTCTTTCTTTCTTTCTTTCTTTCTGTCTCAGATTATGAATGTCCTCTGTGTGGGAGTACCCAAGTTATCACTGTACACTCTTACTAAAACAAAACAGTGATTTTTTTTTGGGGTTTCCACCTTTTACTCGTATATTGTGAAAAAATAGACCGCATCGTGACCACCCATTGAGATTTAACCTCCCGTATTCAACACCACACTGCTATTCCTAGCTAAGATTTCGAAATCACAAATCAGAATGACTACAGGTGCTAGGAAATCGGTACAGCTGTTTAGGTTTATAGTTTTATATGAAATGTCGTGGTGAATAATAATTTCTGTTTGGATTTTACTTTAAAAAACATTGATCAAAA